AACCACATGCCGCTGCACGTCCCCTTGCATGCCCGACCGGAAATAATATCTGGTCAAGTGATGCCGTGTTTTCTCCACTATGGAGTGTCCCGAAACCGTACTGTCGTGGGCTTCCTGTAGTAGTAACTCCCGTAATAAACTGTACTCTGGTACCCAGATGCGGTCAGTCCTTGCCTTTATGTAATAGACTCCCTTAGCCGTCGCGAGCTGTTCATACGCACTCGACGTAAAGAATCTGTCCATCTGGCACTCCTGGGTAAATAGACCTGTCAAGAACGGGGATGTTTGGGCGAGGATGATGGCGTTAAGATGGGCGGGTGGGCGAGAAAGGGGGTCTGCAATGTTTGATGCCCCTTTTTGTAGGTGACTATGTAGTGGAAATTGGATACCATAAATTCCAACCACTGAATCTGTCGTGGGTTGAGCAGTGGCTGTGCGCGGATGTAATGTAGGCTGCGATGTTCTGTTCGTACTATCACGTTTGCAACCGTCAGGTAGCACCGCCACGCTTTGAAGGCATGCACGATCACAAGCATCTCTTTGTCGTGTATCAGATAATTTCGCGCGGGCGGGTGTACCTTCCGTGACTCGTACGCGATTAGCTGTAGACCTTCACCGAAGTCTTGTAACAATACTGCTCCGATGGCGATGTCACTGGCGTCTGTGACAACTTCTAATGGACGGTGGGGATCGACGATGCGAACGATAGGGGCTGAGCACAAAAAGGTTTTGAGCGCAGAGAAGGCAGCTTGCTCTTTCTCCCCCCAATTTTACGCAGTCCCTTTCCGCAGCACGTTAGTTAATGGTGCATTTACCCCCACCATATTCGGGATACATCGCCGAACATAATTGTTGAACCCTAAAAAGCTTTGCAGATCTTGTAGGTTCTTAGGCGGTAGCCAGGCTTGCACTGTCTCGATTTTGCACGGATCCACATCGACGCCCTTAGTAGAAATAACGTGTCCCAAAAAATCTAAGCGGTCTTTTAAGAACTCGCACTTAGACCCCTTCGTGAGCAGCTGATGCTCCTGTTGTAGCGTAGAAACTAGTTCGAGGTCCTTTAAGTGCTGCTCCCAAGTCTCGCTGTAGATCAGTATGTCATCCAGGTAGACTATAACAGACTTATCTACGAGCAAATTGAAGTTCTGGTTCATGGTCATCTGAAATGTCGTCGGGGCGTTTGTCAGACCGAAGGGCATAACTACATACTCGAAATTCCCGTACATAGTACGACACGCGGTCTTGTGACAGTCAGCTGCGACAATGCGAATCTGGTGGTAACCCCATCGCAAACATATTTCCTAGAAGAAGTGAGCTTCGCAAAGTTGGTCGATCAATTCGTCGGCGCGCGCGATAGTGTCATAGAATCGAATGTGTCGAGGAAAATTTGCACTATCGATTGATACAAGGTGCTTTTATACTTCCAAAGTACATCAAGTAACCAGGTTTATCCTATCCAAAGGGAATAGACCCTTCTAGAAATAGAATCACCCTGCGTATAGCCACGCGATGCTTTTGGCTTTAAGGGATTACGACAGGATTATGCTAGATATAGCGCGCCAGTACTCTCACACTTCCCCCCCCTCAAAGCTGGGTGGTAGAAGTAACACCCCGCTTGACAAGGTAGTCTTGAAGAGGACGACGGGCGTTACCCATGTCGGTTTCAGGAACCCAGCTATCCTCAGAAGGATCATAACCCTTCCAACGAATGAGAAGCTCCATGGTGCCATTCCGACAACGGCGGTGTGCAAGCACGGACTCGACCTCGTACTCGGGTTCATCGTGGATGAGGACGGGCGGCGGCGGCAGTGGTTGGCGTCCGATGAAGACCGTGTTAGGATCCCGATAGGGCTTCAGAAGTTGGACATGGAAGGCGTTGTGAATCCTCCAGGTAGCTGGCAGGCGTAAGCGAAAGGTAACAGGAATGACCTGTGCTTCAACGAGAAAAGGCCCACAAAAGCGAGGTCGTAGTTTGGACGGGAGATGGCTAATGTCAAGGTTGCGGGTGTCGAGGAGCACCTGGTCTCCCATGGTGATGGTGTGGTCATTGCGATGGCGATCGGCCTGGCGCTTCTGTTGCTGCTGAATGTCGAGGAGGCGCTTGTGGGTCCGATCCCAAAGCTGATGCATGGTTGTGATGAAGTCGTGTGCAGGTTGGAATGTGGCTGATGCTGTCGCTTTTTGTGGCAAGCGCGGGTGGCGTCCATAGCAGAGGAAGAACGGTGTCTGTCCAGTAGCGGCATGTGTAGCGTTGTTGTAAGCAAACTCTAGAACGGGCAGGTGCAAGTCCCATTTACAGATCTCGTCCTTGCAGGCTGCACGGAGGAGTTGCTCAACAATCTGGTTGAGACGCTCGGTCTGTCCGTCTGTCTGCGGATGGTAGGCGGATGACATGGCGAGTTTGGTCCCGAGCAGAGACATTAGTTCCTTCCAGAACTTGCTGGTGAACTTGGGGTCTCGGTTGGAGATGAGTGTAATTGGAATGCCATGTTATGAGATGATGTAGCGAACGAATAGTTGTGCTGTCTCTTCGGTGCGTGCTGTCGTGTGTGTCGGGATTAAATGTCCCATTTTGGAGAATTTGTCGATGACGATGAGGATTGCGTCATAACCGCTTGTGGTAGGTGGTAACCCGGTGATGAAATCCAGAGTAACCACTCGCCATGGTTGTTCTGGGACACGAAGAGGCTGTAGTAGTCGCGCCTTCTTCTGCTTGCTGCTCTTCATCCGCTGACATGTATCATACGAGGTAACGAATTTATGGACATCGTCTGCCAAGTGGGGCCAGTAGTAGTGTTTCGCGATACCGGCGAGCGTCTTGTTGCTACCGAAGTGTCCTGCATATAGGAGATCGTGGTATTCTTCAAGTAGTAACTGGCGCAAAGGTGGGTAATTGGGTACCCAGATTTTCGTTGATCCTTTCAGGTACTCGATGCCACTGTCCTACTGTAGCAGGTGTCACTTCTCTGCCAAGGGAATTTCGGGGTCGATGGTGTACCCGTGTGTGAAGGGTCCCTTGAGTAATGGATTCATCCCTTCGATCTGGATGGCGGCAACGTGTGCAGGCCGGCTAAGGGCGTCTGCTTTGTTTTTGTGGCCGGGCTTGTACACGATGTCGTAGTGGAAGTGTGTCTCGAGGAAGTCAATCCACCGGACCTACCACCTGGAGAGGTTTGGTTGTGTCTTCAAATATTTCAGGCTGCAGTGGTCGGTGTAGATGGTTGTTTTTCGTCCTCGAGATAACATCTCCACGTTTTGAAGGCGATGATGATAGCAAGGGCCTCTTTGTTGTGTATCGGGTAGTTTAGTTCAGCCCCGTGTAGTTTCTTGCTGAGGTAGGCGATCGATTGCAGTCCATTCCCCTGGTCTTGCATCAAGACTGCTCCCACCGCCTGGTCACTTGCATCAGCTTCGATGACATAGTCGCGTTCGGGGTCTGGCAAGATGAGTACGGGTGCGGATGTCAGTGCTTGTTTCAGCTGCTCCACGGCTTCTTGGTTCATTTCCGCTTGGAACGTAACGGGTGCGTTGGTGAGTCAGAACGGCATTACCTGATACTCGTACGACCCGTATCGAGTTCGGAAGGCAGTTTTGTGGATGGAATTGTCCGCCATTCGTATCTGCCCGTATCCGGACCGCAGATCCAGTTTGGAAAATACCGTAGCTCCTCGAATCTGGTCAAGCAGGTCATCGATTCGTGGTATCGGGTATTTGTTCTTGATGGTCTGCTTGTTGAGAGCTCGGTAATCGATGCACATGCGCAGGCTTCCGTTTGGTTTCGGTGTGAAGAGCAGTGAGGCACCGTATGGCAAAGTGGATGGTCAGATGAGTCCTAAGGCGAGGAGATACTCGATCTTTTTTTTCATGTCGGCTAGCTCTGTAGGGCTGAGCCAATATGGTGCTCAAAAGATCGGCTTCAAACCCGGTTCTTCCACGATCTCGTATTGGTGCGTTCGGTATAGCGGTAGCTCGTTAGGGAGGTCGTCAGGAAGAATGTCTTGGAACTCCTTCAGTAATTCCTTGATTTTTCCTAGAGGTTCGAAGGCTTTCTCTCCGTCTTCTTCCGCGTCTGTTGCTATCACCAAGAACCCGGTGTCGGTTCGCTTCACGTCCTTCTCGAATCATGCGAGTGTCTCCACTGGGATATCTCTTGTATCATCCCAGTTGGGTTGCTGGACTCTCCTTCCATTGTTGTAGATGCTTGCGGTATGATTTACCTAGTTGATCTCGGGGTTGAATCTTTTCAGGAAGTCTCGCCCAAATATCAGGTCAAGCACTTTTATATTGGTGATGGGGAGTGTAGGTCTCCAGCGCAGTGGTCCAATTTGTAGGTGTAACACAGCTTCGCCGTGTTCTGGTAACTTGCTGTCGTCCACCATCGTTCCAGAGAATACTGAAGGCTTGTACTCTTCCCGAAGTCGGTCGATTACTGCCTTGTCATAGAAGGTGTGTGATGCTCCACTGTCCACGAGTGCTTGGAGGCATCGTCCTTTGTAGATGACCTCGAGCACGAGGGGCGGGCGTTGCTCGGAGTATTCAAAGATAGTTTCATTGATAGGGTCATAGGGTACATCCCAATATTCCGTACACACATTTTCGTTACTATCTACTCCTGGGCGTGCAGCTGGCCGAGGAGCTTGGAGAAAGGCTCCTCTCCAAGACCCGGAGTCTCTTTGACGACTGTGCGCGTCGTTGATGCAGAAGTTGCTGAGCTGGATGCATCCGGGGGAGGAGTTCGGGGTTTTTGCAGCTTCTTGTAGACCCCCAGCTTCCTCTTGAGCTGTTTCAGCTCCATCGATGTCTTCCCTGTGGAACGGGTAGACGTTGTGGGCTGGTGTCGGGAGAGGGCGTTGACTCCGTGGAAAGGTCGGCTTCTTTCCATACTCCTTAATTTTTTCCCCAAGTTTTTCGGTACCGGTATGATCTCCACAGGTTTCTGCTTCTTCTGGAGTCCCTCCCGATTTTTCTCCAAGGCTCTAGCCCCTCGAGAATCACATGTTTTCATTAAAGCATCTTTATAAGATAACTATAACGGGTCCTTATAATTTCTTGGGTCTTCTCGGAGTTTCCCCGTCTCGGCAGAGTCCTTTTTCGCGGAGTCAGATTTTTTCTCGGCGATTTTCTCTTGCGAAGACTGGTCCTGGGGTGGAGATTTCCCCCCATCATTTCCTCCTGCTCGCGTCGAATCAACTTCGTTGAAGTTGATTTTCCCGGGATCCTGCGGCCGCTTCCGGATCTTTTGTTTTTCGCCAGCTACCGTAAACGCCCGGATAGAAGACCCCCATGGAATAGAAGATATAGTGTCTTGTATCAGGCGTCTATCTTGTATTAGGCATTTCTGTTTATAAGATACTAATTCGAGGGAGGTATGAGATAAGATACCCTACGTTGGTTTCAAGGATGTTTCAATGTCGCATGTGTTAACTCCTTGTATTGTCCAAAACGCTAACATCAGATGTCGATTACACACACACTAAAGGGTCTAAAAATCCCCAAAAGTGTCCATTGTCGAGAAAATCACAGTCATCCTCATCAAGGACCTCTACAGGGGCGGGATTCCGGAAGTCAGGCACCCCCCAAACATGTTGTGTAGTACTCTCAGGCTCATGCAGCTTGTCTGCCTCTGCTGCAGCACCGCAACACTTCTCTGTCTCAGGGTACGGGTCTGGCTCCACGGTGTTCTCCTCCTCCTCCTCCTCCTCTTCCTCCTCCTCCTCCTCCTCCTCCTCCTCCTCCTCCTCCTCCTCCTCCTCCTCCTCCTCCTCCTCCTCCTCCTCCTCCTCCTCCCCCCCTCCTCCTCCTCCTCCTCCTCCTCCTCCTCCTCCTTCCCCCTCCTCCTTCTCCTTCCCCCTCTCCTGCCCCGCCACAAAGCTGCTGTTGTCCCCAGTTGTGCCCCGCAGGGACATGTCCTCCGACACGTTAATCACGAGCTCTTCGCGCATGTCTTGAAGCACAAGGTAGTTGTCGGTGCCGTCCATGGAGCTAGAGATGCCACACGTCTTGAACGCGTGGACAATGACGTCACGGGGGACATCCCTCCACGCCTCGTTGACCCATTTCAGCACGACCGCATGAGGTGGGCGTCAAAGGTTCCCTGTTGGATTTGGGGGCACAAAAGACACAGGCATTCAAAGTGAATCCTGGTAAGCAAAAACCGTGGGTATGACATACAGCTACAAAGATGTGTACAGGGTAGCAAAATACCGTACCTCTCGGAGTTGTCAAGTCTATGCCGTGTTTCACGAACCATTTGGCGTACCGAGCGCGAACTCCCGCTTTGAAGCACCTGTTGATAGACACGTCAAGGGGCTGAATAAGGGGGGTACATCCAGCTGGGATTATTGCAGGTACGATACTGTGTGTCCTGTAGGCGGCCTTCATCCTGTCAGTGAGATGGCCCCTGTAGGAATCCAAGACCAGCATGCTGCATCGGGCAGCTGATCCACACTTGGGGTTTAGGAACGGCAGCACTTCCTTCAAAAGCCACTTCTTTACAACCTCCTCGTCCATCCAGCCGTTGACCTGCGCTTGAACCTCGACGCCTGCCACGCACACACACACACAAGGGAACAAGGCAGGTGCAATTAAGAAACAAAGTCATGATTGCACGCATGCCATGCATACATAGCCAAGCTTTGTGGTCGGACTGTGGTAGAGGACTCCCAGGAAGGCGGGCATGCAAAAAGGGGAGAGGCCAATACCTGGAGGGCATTCGCACTTGGGTTTCGTTTTGCGCTTGAACCAAACCCACGGACGAAGCTAAACCCTGAGTTTGGTGATCAGGGTTAAAACTGATCAACGATATAAAACTCAGGGTTCACCACTCAGTAGATCAGGTTCTGCACTCCGCTTCCTCTTTGTTGCAGTAGCACCGTTCTCGTTGTGTGGCAATCGCTGCTTCTTCACCTTGGAGTCAACCAGCCACTTCACACGGCACTTCTCGATCGGAACGTTTTCGTCAATCATGCCGACACTCCCCATGTCGTCACCGTGGCTCACGCCGTCACCGTCACCCATGTTGTCGCAAGCCGCCTCGCCGTCATCCCCGTCCTCCACCTCCTCTACTGCACCCTCCTTGCCTATGCCGCACTCCTCATTATCGTCATCACGACCGCATTCCTCTGCGTAATCACCGTCATGCTCTTCGTCGCCTGCCATCTCGCCCGCTTGGTTATCATCTTCATCCTCCTCGCCAGCATACCATTCCTCAACCTCCTCCGCGAAATAGATGGGTTTCGCCCACCTGTCGTCGTCAGAGGCATTGGCAGAGCCGCCGTCCTTAGCGTTGTCATCCTCCCCCTTGCCCATTCCAGCCATCCCATAGTCAGGCGGCGGCGACGAGGGTTTCTTGGCAGGCGAGGACAAGGTTTTCTTGGCAGCGGTGTCTGGGATATTCAGCGTATGGCCAGGGGAGTTGTGGCGCCCAAAAATGTTGACATAAACGCGGGGTGGTGATGGATCAGTTCCGCGCTGCCTAAACCTTGACACCTTGTCCTGAGGTCGATGCTTGCTGCGCATGGCGGCACGCGATGACACTAGCCGAGCTGAGGCAGGCCAGAAATCCAAGGCAGGGGAGGAAGCGTCGCTAAGGCAGGGGAGGACGCTGAGCTAAGGCAGGGGAGGACGCTGAGCTAAGGCAGGGGAGCAGAGTTTCCAAGTGGAACGAGAAGAGAATGAAAAAATGAGAGGTACACCCCCCTCCGAGAGCTCAGGCCCGGGGCGCGTTTTTCATCGAAGAGGAATCACACCTCAATGAGGAGCAGCATCCAGAAGCTGAGATGCTGCTGTGAAGAGCATCATTCGCCATCCAGCACGTGACGGCCACTGCCAGCTGGTGTGACACTGCAGTAACAATTGCGTCACGCCCCTGGCGTCACGCTGGCATGCTGTAACAATTGCAGCGTGCGTGAAAAATCCCCCCTTTGTTAAGTATTTCGTTGTCGAATTATGGACGCACAATCCCAAAATCCCTAATTTGAATTTTTTCTAGCCCTTAAACTTGGTGCTCCATTTATATTTTTTTTTTCCCATTTATGAGATACACACCCCCCTTGGATTTTTCCATTTATAATAAATTTCACCACTTCTTAGGTCGTTATATATGATAAGACATAGGGGTCTTCTATCCGGGCGTTTACGGTAGATCCGCAATCACTGGCGACTCCCATTTTTTGTCTTCTGATTGGCCGAAGGAATTCCACCACTGTTGCGTGTCCGATACTTTGCTCGTGCGATTTTCATTTTGTTGCAGTCGAAGATTCGATGGCCCGGCACCCCGCAAAAATCACACGTGTAGTTGGTGTTTTTCGGACGTAACCGCCCGTCGAACCTGTCGATTTCCATTGGGTCGGCGAACGTGGGGTGAGCCGAGCGGTCGCTCTGTCGCGTACTGCCGACGTGCGCCTGTCATGTCCCGGCGTTGACCATGTCGAATCGCTCCGCTGCCGAAACGACGTCACTGTAGCTCGCGTAGTTCGTCGCTGCTACCTGTCGTTTGACTTTGGTCTTCAGCTCGGCGAGGTATGACTGTACTTTTTCCCCTTCGGTCAGGTCGGGAATGCGGTTATAAAATTCCTCCATCTGCTGCGTGTACTGCGCTACACTCCCGAACTGTCGATGGCGATGAATTTTTTCCCGGGCAAGGAAACCCGAATTAATCGGCTCGAAGCGTTTCTGCAGGTCGGTGCAGAACTGCTGCCACGTGGCTTCGCCGTGAATGAAGGTGCTGTTGCCGCCGATCCACTCGAGTGCCGGCCCTCGCATCGGTGTCGCCGCGAGTCGTACGCGTTGACCGTCCCAGACTGGCGAGCTCCATCCGACGGCTGCGAAGTAGATCTCCATGCCGGCGATCCATCTGCGAGCGTCAGAATTTCGATCGCTCGGATCGAACGGCTCAGGTGGGCACAGTTTCGGAGCCTCGAGAAACTGCTGCGACTGCTGCGTCATCGCCGTTGTCGTGTCGTGCTGCGGGCCGGCGAGTCGAGTTACTCGCTCGAACTCGTTTCGCCAAGCTTCGCGATTGGCTCGCATCTCCTCCTGAAGGGAGGCGATGCTCGCGAAGAGCTGTTGGGTAACCTCGGCGTTGTCGAAGGTCGCCAACCTGTTAAAAACACGCGCGGAGGGGATAATTAAAAAAACGTGGAGCTGGTGCTTACCAGAATCGGCGCCGAATTAGTAGCCCCCGGCGGTTTTTCGAGGCAGGTTTTCCCGCTGCTGCTGCTTTACTGAGCGCGGCCGAGTGAGAAAAGCTCTGATTACCAAGTGTTACAGGATCGAATGTGTCGAGGAAAAGTTGCACTATCGATTGATACAAGGCGCTTTTATACTTCCAGAGTACATCAGGTAACCAGGTTTATCCTATCTAGAGGGAATAGACCCTTCTAGAAATAGAATTACCCTGCGTATAGCCACGCGAGGCTATTGGCTTTAAAGGATTACGGCAGGGTTACGCTAGATATAGCGCGCCAGTACATCCCGAGCCTGGTCGGTGATATAATTATAATAATAGGATAAACCAAAGGATAATGGAAAAGGAAGAATAGGAAACCAATTGAGATGAGATAAAAAGAGGAATGAAACAGAAAGGAAATATGGAAAGAGGAAAATGGTGTAACGGGGTCGTACTCTCACAGATAGGGTCACACGACTTGATAGTCATCCTGCTCAGTGCTCTGTAGTTAGTGTGGGCGAATGATTTTTTTCTCCAGTAAATAGTCTAGCTGCTTACGAAATTCTTCTAACTCTGGTTGTGTCAGTCTTAATTGCCGTTGAAATGTGGGATGTGTCCCCGGTTCTAATTCTACTCGATGGTCGAAGGGCCGTTCCGGTGGTAATCCCTGGAGCTCGTCGTCTGGAAATATTTGCGGTAATTTGGAAATCAGCTGTGCTAGATCGGCCGACACTGCTGAAACTAGAGCCGGTAGATGTCGTGGTCATGTGGGAGCTGGATGAATCCGATGTCGAGGAGGATGGTATGGAGGTTCCGCTGCCAGAGCCGGGGGGCTTTGTTAGACATGGTTGTCCCCGTTGCCATTTCGATGCAGTTGTTTGATGTGAATACCTGCATCGACGAGGGCGTAAAGGAAGGTGCTTTTTACGTTGAGCTGGCAAAGTGGGAGGTGTTTGTATGCAATGATTACGAGCAGAATGCACACTGAGGTGTGGCGTCTGATTGGGGCATAGGTCTAATAATGTCGCAGGTTTTATCGAAGCCGCGAATGACCCTACGAGCTTTGAAGCGTTCGATGGTTCCGTCGGCTTTGGCTTTTACCTGGAAAATTCATGCGTTATGTGACGGTCGTGTGATCAACGAGGACCCAGGTTTCGCGGTAGCGAAGCGCCTCCACCTCTTTGTCCATGGCTTTCTTCAATTGTTCCCAGTGCAAGCTAGCTTGCGCCTGGTGAACTATCTTGGGCTCTAGTGGGGATGGAGTTCGGCAAACTGCAACGAGAAGACTGAGAATGCGGAGACCAATTTTGCCTTGGTGAGAACAGGCGTCATGAACTTCACGTTCTTAATCAATGCTGGTAACTTCTTGCTCGCCATCGTCATCAGATTCGGCTGGGTCACGTCGGATAGTGTCACGTTAGGGTGAAAGGGAAAGAACTCGTTTGATAGGAAAAGGATTCTCCTATTGTGCGTAGTCGTAGGCACCGCTCGTGATATCATCAGGATCGGGGTCAGAGGAGGGTAGAAAACTGGGTCGCTTGCGCTAGTACGGGAGATAGCCAGATAATGTTCATCAGGAGCGATGACCCCCTCGCCTTCTGCCACATCAGCAATGTCTTGTATGGTGGCAAAGACGTGGTGTCCTGTGAAGGACTCGTCCTCGTCATCGTCAGCTGCAACACTGCGCAGGCCTTTGAAGATGGTCCCGGGGGCATGGCGCTCAACTTGGTGTTGACGAAAGAGAGGCAGGACGTTACGAGAGCGAATCACCTGTCGTGAATT